CACACACACACACACACACACACACACACACACACACACACATACACACACACACACACACACACACACACACGCTCAGCTGCATGAGTCAGCGAGCAGCAGAGTTTTCCACCTCAGCATCAGCAGAGGCAGGAATTCCTCGCCAAGGCTCGGATCGGTCAGAGGAAACTCTGGTTCCTGATTGGCTAACTGTTGGAGTCCAGCTTGTTCCAGAGCCCCGCCTCCTTCTGGAGCAGGAACTTCTCAGATTGGGGTTATGGGCTCTTTCACACAGGTTGGGTTCATGACTCCAGGATCTGTAGAGGATGTGTCTAAACTGATGGAGTTAGAGGTTCTAAAAGTTCTTTCTTTGGGCCAAAACACGATCTAAGAAGTTAAAAAGCTGCTGAACGTTGTTCTGGTGGCTACAGCTGCTCCTGATGGACTTTTAGATCTATGAAAGTTTAACTTAAATCACTTAATCTGTGCTTCTTCAGCTTGTTACACTTTGAAGAAAAGACTAATCTAACCTGCAAATATTTCAATTTATGTCAGTTCATTTCTAGCCACAACTTCTATTCAGTGTATTTCTATAGCTCCAATTCCCATCATGTCATCTCAGGTCACTTTATAGATCCAGATCAACCAGATCATCCAGTCAGATTGATTAACGTTTTCGTTCTAAGGAAAACCAGCTGATTGCATCGACTCATTGACTCTTTTAGGATTCGCTCCTCCTGGATGAGCATTTAGAGATGCATGGTCATCCCTCACACTGACCATGCATGCACCAACAGTGGAGAGGAAAAACTCCCTTTGAACAGGAAGAAACCTCAGTAGAACCAGAACCAGGCTCAGTGTCAGCAACCTTCTGCTAAGGTCAACTGAGCGTTTAAAGAGAACGAAGGAGACGTAGAAAAGGAACATAGAAGCAGGACGCTGTCACAGCTAATAATGATCAGACCAGGTGTAGCAAAAAGCAGAGAGAGCATTAAGTTAGGGGTTGAAGTAGAAAATACAACAGAATGGGAGAATAGAGATAAAATGAAGCTGAATGATGAAAAAGGGGTTCCTATGTCCTCCAGCAGTCTAA